TCTTTACTAGTGCTCATTCTCTCTATACACCAGTTTATGATTAGAATTAAATTATGTTTTAGTAACGCTCATTGAGGTGTTCTCCAAGGTTGTTTTATTACCACCTAAAAATTCAGAAAGTTACAATTTACTGTGCTGCTTTACTTTGTAGATATAGATGAACTCAATCCCCATATGAAGTATTAGCCCATAATAAAGATATACCTATATTTAACCAAGTAAGGATTTAATTAGGATGTTATCCAGTAAAAACAGGCATTTATTTTGGTGATGATTGCAAATAACATAATTTTCACGAATGCATGAACTTACATATATCCTTAAATTACTTTCTACTTAATGCAAATATTATTTGGAGTGAGATAATGAATAAAAACTAATGTGAAGCATGGCTTCTGATTAAAATGCTTCTGGAGTTGATTCTCTTTTCTGAAGAATTAGCTTAATGCCCTATTAGTCTGTTCTCACACTGCTAATAAAGACCTAACTGAGGCTGAGGAGGCCTCACAGCCATGGAGGAAGGCAAAGGAGAAGCAAAGTCACATCTCACATGGCAGCAGGCTAGAGAAAGCCTGTGCAGAACTCCCCTTTAGGAAATTATCAGATTTTATGAGACTTATTCACTACCACCAGAATAGCATGGAAAAACATGCACTCCATGATTCAGTTACCTCCCACCAGCCCCCTCCCACAATATGTGGGAATCATGAGAGCTTAATTCAATATGAGATTTGGGTGGGGACACAGCCAAACCATATCATTCCACTCCTGGCCCCTCCCACAACTCATGTTATAATATTTCAAAACCAATCATGCCTTCCCAACAGTCTGCCAAAGTCTTAACTCATTTCAGCATTAACTCAAAAGTCTACAGTCCAAAGTCTCACCTGAGACAAGGCAAGTCCTTTCTGCCTATAAGCCTGGAAAATCAAAAGCAAATTAGTTATTTTCTAAACACAGTGGGGATACAGGCATTAGGTAAACACAGCCATTTCAAATGGGAGAAATTGGCCAAAATGAAGGGGCTACGGGCCCCATGCAAGTCTGAAATCCAGCGGGGCAGTCAAACCTTAAAATTCCAAATGATCTCCTTTGACTCCATGTCTCACATCTGGGTTATGCTTATGGAAGAGGTGGGCTCCCATGGCCTTGGGCACGTCAACCCCTGTGGCTTTGCAGGGTACAAGACCCCTCCTGGCTGCTTTCATGCCTGGCATTGAGCGTTTGTGGCTTTTTCAGGTACTCAGTGCAACCTGTCAGTGGATCTAGCATTCTGGGCTCTGGAGGACAATGACCCTCTTCTCACAGCTCCACTAGGAAGTGCCCCAGGGGAAATTCTGTGTGAGAGTTTGCACCCCACATTTCCCTTCTGCACTGCTCTAGCACCAGTTCTCCACAAGGACCCACCCCTGAAGTAAACTTCTGCCTGGATGCCCATGGGTTTCCACACATTCTCTAAAATCCAGGAGATTTCCAAACTTCAATTCTTGACTTCTATGTACCCGCAGACTCAACCCCGTGTATAAGCTGCCAAGGCTTAGGGCTTGCACCCTCTGGAGCCACTCCCCAAGTATACATTGGCCCTGTTTAGCCACAGCTGGTGAGACTGGGATGCAGGGCACCAAGTACCTAGACTGCAAACAGCAGTGGGGCCCTGGACCCAGCCCATGCAACAATATTTCCCTCCTAGGCCTTTGGGTCTGTGATGGGAGGGTCAGCTGTGAAGGTCTCTGACATGCCCTGGAGACATTTCCCCCCATTGTTCAGGTGTTCAACATTTGGCTTCTTGTGACTTATACTTTCTACAGCAGGCTTCAATTTCTCCCCAGTAAATGGGTTTTTCTTTTCTATCTCATCATCAGGCTGTAAATTTTCAAAACTTTTATGCTCTGCTTCCTCTTGAACTCTTTGTGGCATACAGATTTCTTTCACCAGATACTCCAAATCAATTCTCAAGTTCAAAGTTCCAAGGACCTCTAGGCAGGGGCAAAAACTGCTAGTCTCTGCTAAAGCACAACAAGAGTCAACTTTGCTCCAGTTCCCAACAAGTTCCTTATCTCCATCTGAGATCACATCCACCTGGACTTTATTGTTTATATCATTTTGGTCCAAGCCGTTCAACATGTATCTGGTTAGTTCCAAACTTTCCAATATCTTCCTGTCTTCTGAGCCTTCCAAGTCTCTAGGAAGTTAAAAACTTTCCCATATTTTCTTATCTTCTTCTGAGCCATTCAAATTGTTTCAACCCCTGCATATTACCTGGTTCCAAAGTCACTTCCACATTTTCAAGTATCTTTACAGCACTACCCCACTCTACAGGTATCAATTTACTGTATTAGTCTGTTCTCACACTTCTTATAAAGACATACCTGAGACTGGGTAGTTTATAAAGAAGGTGGTTTAATGGACTCATAGTTTCACATGTCTGGGAAGGCCTCACAATCATGAAAAAAGGCAAAGGAGAAGGAAAATCACATATTACATAGCGGCAGGCAAGAGAGAGTGTGTGTTCAGGAGAAATCCCCTTTATAAATCCTTCAGATCGCCTCAGACTTATTCACTGTCATGAAAGCAGCATGGGAAAGACCCACTCCCATGATTCAGTTACATCCCATTGGGTCCCTCCAGTGACATGTGGGAATTATACGAACTAAAATTCACGATGAGATATGGGTGAGATCACAATCAAACCATATTAACATTATAATTTTTTTCTTGGCTATATAAATCCATTAATTCCTCTATTTCTTAACTGATTTTTAATGATTTTACCACCATTTGTTCTTCTGCTACTAAGGATTCACAATTGTTAACCTAGTCTGGCTATTTTGAAGGTAAAAATAAACAGAAATGATTACAAATAAATTCACTCATGGATTCTTTACACACCCCTTTAAAAGCAATTGGTGAAAGGTTATTTTTACAGAGATATTAAGTTGAAAAACTAATCCAAATGGAAGCCATTTAAGCTAATTTTGCAGACACCAAAACCCAAGTAAAAAGACTGGAGAAGCCTGATGATTGTGACGTAACTAGGGGCAATAGAAGCATGCATAAACTACAGTGCAATACCACCTCACACCCACTAGAATGGTGATAAAGAGACAGATAGTAATAAATGGTGGTGGAAATATGAAGAAACTGGAAACTATATTGCTGTCAGGAATGTAAAACCGTGCATACACTTGGGAAAACAACATGGCATTTCATCCTAAGTGATCACACACAGAGTTACCAAAGGAGTTACTGGCAATTTCACTTCAAGGCGTATATTCAAGAGAAATAAAAACATTTCCACAACTACTTTTACAGTAATGCCTATAAATGGTATTATATTAGGAAAATAATGGAAACCAGATAAAGTATGTCAAATAAAGAATGGATAAATATGTGGTATATCCATACATTAGAAAAGCTTTTGACAATAAAAAAATGAAATACTGATGACACATACTATCATATGGATAAACATTTAACACATGGTGCCAAATGACATAAATCTTTCACAAAGGACTACATATTATTTGATACCTTTATATAATATACCAATAGCAGGCAAATTTATGGAGACAGAAAGTAGATTAATGGCTTCCTGAATTAAGGTGAGAGAATGTGCTGTATTATGACTAAGCAATGCAGAATTTCTTTTTGGAGTAATACGAGTGTTCTGAAATTGGTTGTGGTAACGGATGTACAATTCTGTGAATAGAAGCCATTGAGTTGTACACTTTAAAGGGGTACATTTTATGCTATGTGAACTATATATCAATGAATCTGTTAAATTTTTTAATGTTTTAGACCCCTCTGGAAGAAAAACAGAACATGATTTTATTTTACACGGCACTATTTTCAAATGTGAAGTATTTCTGTTTGCTTGTTTTTTTGAGACAGAGTCTTATTCTGTTGCCCAGGTTGGAGTGCAGTGGCATGATCTTGGCAACCTCCGACTCCTGGGTTTGAACTATTCTCCTGCCTCAGCCTCGTAAGTAGCTGGGATTATGGGCACCCATCACCACCCACCTGGCTAATTTTTGTATTTTTAGTAGAGACAGGTTTTCACCATGTTGGCCAGGCTAGTCTAGAACTCCTGATCTCATGATCCGCTCATCTTGGCCTCCCAAAATGCTGGAATTACAGGTGCAAGCCACTGCACACCGCCAAAATGTGAAGTATTTTTGATCTCTAATATATTCAGAGTTTTCTCATGAATACATCAAAACATTTCCTAACTGTATGTATAACTTCTGCATACAGTTTTAAAGTGAGGATAATTGGTACGTTTGGTCTACTTACGAATGTGTTAAAAAAAACTGTATTGTCATGATGATGGATTCATTTTCTTAAAGTTATATTCTAATCTCAATTAACACAGTCATATCTACCTTTATGACCCCCAAAGTATTACTGATATATATGTTTGTTTGTTGTTTCCTGAGCTTATGTGTTTTTCACAATGTAATATTCTGGGTGGAGGCAGAACAAGAGTCACCCTCAGCTTTAGGTCAGGTACTTTACTTGGCTGTTGCAATTCCAAGAATTATTCTTTTACTGTAAGTTCTATAAGTATTTTTGAAACTTGAGCAGAGGTTTTATATAAAATAATCAGTATGCAATTCGAAATTTTTATTTTTCTTTTTTCCTAAACTATCACACAAATGAAGTACTCTTCTTCCAATGAATTGATAGTTTAGGTAAAGCAAAAACAAATGAAAAAGCACGTCTCACAATTAGAAGGAGAACCAAATACCCTTAACTCAAGGATGAAGCATAAGTGTTCTGTAATACCAATTTTTCCATCACCATGCCAGAATTACAGTAAGGAGGAAGAAATAAGACTTATTCACTCTATCTGATAATGTTAAATTATATCTAGTACCTCTATTTACTCTCCTAGATCCTGATATCAAAATTAAAGCTTGTGAGGGCCCTGCTCTTAAGGAAATTTCAGTATTTCTTCTTGTATAAGGGACATCTTTTACTGTGAAATATGAAATAGTTACCGTTTTCTGAAGCAGTGACTGTGATATTGTACCATGGAGTTTCTTCTCTGTCAAGAACCTTTGTAGTCTTAATGGTTCCAGTATTGGCATCAATGTTGAAAAATCTGTCATCTTCAGCATTGTAGTTGATGAAGTATCTAGAGAAAAAAAGAATTTTTTTTTTTTTTACTTGATGCTGTAAAGAAGAAAATACAACTGAACTAAGGGAAGAATTATATCCAAATGCATTAAAATATCCAAATACATTTTTAAATTCTATATTTGATTTACATGACAACTTTACATTTTTGTAGAATTTATATCAATTATTTTTATCTGTCAGTCTTTAATTCTAAGTTCAATTATGAAGTCAAAAAATAATTTTATAAGATCTTACCAAATTTTGTGAAAAGTAGATAATAGAAACACAGTGATTAATGAAGGAAAGAACAAAAGAATTCACCTCTTGGAAGCCTATAATACATTTAATGAAAAAAATTAAACCTGTAATGAAAATTCTCATTGCTATTATCCAAAAAATTTGAATCCTTGGAGAAGTCAGATATGAATTTGTCTTGAAATTTCATTGTAGCTAAGGTTTAAAGATAAATATAAAATGAAAACAAAACACTTGTATTTGTTAACACTGTACCTCTATCACAGTTCAACTAAGCCTTTGTTTAGTCAAAGAATGAGATAAAAAAAAATAAAGATAGTATAGGGAACACATTTTTCCCCCTCTTCAATTCATGTAATTTTGCAGGATTCTCTCATTTGGATTTGATTTCAGCTTGTTTTGCAATCAAATGAGCTGAAAGTGATGATGTCTGTCTTCTTTCTGGGTGTAGGTTTCATGAGACTTTGTATGTTTCCTTGTAGGCTGTGCTGCTGCCATAAGAATAGCATGCTTGGACTAATTAACTCGTCCTAGCATGAGGAAGGGAAACACAGGGGGAAAGTTGTCCCAATTAAGGTTCTCAACCTGGTGTAGATCAACCTAGTAAATGTGCAGATGCATGATTGAGTGTTTCAGAGATTAAACAGAGCTGGCATCAAAAACTATCCTAATTTAGCTAGCCCTCAGCTAATCCACAGACACATACAGTATAGTTAGACATAACTTTTTTTTTTTTTTAAGACCTCTGAGTTTTGGAGTTATGTGTTATTTAGCAATAGCTGATTAACATGTCTGTGAATAAATACTATTAAGCAATTATCATATGTTCTAGAAAAGCTTCAGACTACTTATACAACTTTTTAAGGAGAGAAATATTCTATTCTCTCCTGAAGCCCCTAATGCTTTTTTCTCTTTTCAAATTCAAGCTTAAGTAATATTTTATCTAGACCTGAAAGATGAAATGGCATGACTAATTATGTGAAAAGTGCTAGGGAAGAATATATGATACAGAGAAAACCAAGGTAAAAATATCCAGATTAAAGAAAAAATTCAAATTGGTTAGAAAACAAATCTATTTCAATGTGGCTATGAAGACTAAATGACATGAATGTCCAAGTGTCAGGACAAGATAAAGAGTTTTTTACTTGTTTGTGAAAGCAATGGGAAGAATTTCAAATTCAAGGAAAAAAAAGAACTGATTTACTTAGATTTATTTATGTTCTGAAAAATGACAGTGGCTACTTTTTATCATAGATTGTAGAAAGTTGAAAATCATTTATTAAAAAAATTCTTTGGCAACTTGGACAAAGATGGAAAGATAGAAGATAATGGAAAGAAGTGTGTAACATACTGTTATATATGAAATACAATTCATAGACTTTTCCTTGAAGTGGCATTAGTCAAGTAATTAAATCACAATTGACTCCATTTGTATGTGTATGTTTAACCTACCAGTTGATTTATAGACCCTTTGACTGAGGTGGATAAAAAAAAATGTTAGGGAAAGATAGTTTAGGAAAAATTAATGATTATGCTTTAGATGCCCATTAGATACACATGTGGAATAAAAAGCCAAAGTCAAATATGGGTATGGAGTTCAATTGTCCTTTCTAAACAGGAAATATAATCAGTCTGGAGGAAAATATAATCAGTCTGGAGGAAAATAGGTTGGGTTTGGTTTTGTATTCTGAAATCATGTAGTCTTTTTGTCAGAACAATCTCCTCTTTTTTAGCCACTTGACACTGGGCTTTCTAACGTAAGTGCTAATATCAGTGGTTTAACAGAGTTTTAGAGTTAAAATATATTTTAATTCATACAGTTTTCAATTATATTTATATATTAGAAAAATGACAGGCATAATTCTAGGCATGAATCTTCAGACTCTTTTTATTTGCTTTCGAGTTTCCTAAGCTATCTTGCTCTCTAGGGAAATCAGCATCCTAAGGGCTAGATTTTGGGCCATGCTTTGTTCTAAAGAGTTTTATTCATGAAGTTGCAATTGAATTTTGACTCAAGTAGAACTAAATAGTTCTGCCTAACCACCTTTGGATTTCTGCCCAGACATGGAAATAAAAACTCAGAAGTACAGAAAGTGGAAATGTGAGAAAGGGAAACAATTCAAGACTATTATCAAGATTAAATATAGAATCATTTAATACTAATTATTTAGAATTAAGAAGTGACATGGGTCCATAAAACTGTTAATCAAACAATTAAAAAGAGGTGAGAATATTCTCAGTAAATTACTTTTCAAATAATTTTTATAATAAAATATTTATTAAGCCCTCAGAAAGTAAAAAAAAAAAAGCTAACTTTGTGAATGTATATGTCAATATTTGGATTTTTTTTTTACAAATAATTAATTTGACATTTTCAGGGATATTTAGAAAATACAAAATCAAGTAATCATTTGCCTAGGTGACATAGGTCCTAAAAGAGTAGTAATAAAACCCATGGAATTGGGGTTTTATATAATTTTTTTAAAAATTATAGGGTATAGCTATCAAAAATGAACCTGAATAAATTGAAGCTAGAAGATTTATGGCCAGGTAAGACATATTAAATATTTTCTTCAAAGTCTAATCTGCCCCTTAATATAAACCTTTGAGTATTGGCATATGTGTGAGGCAGAGAGCAAATACTTAAATACATGTAGGAGTTATTTAACAAAGCTACCTAATAAGAGGTACAAAAAGCTAGCATTTATTGAGCACTTCCAATATACAAGATGGAGGGCTATGTGCTTTATAAATATTAGTTCATTAAACACTCATAACAGCTGCATGAGGTAAGTGCTATTACTATCTTCCTTTTATAAATGAAGAAACCAAGGGACGTATAATGGAGATTTTGTCCAACATGAAGAAGACAGTTAGTGCAAGAGATTAAAATACAATTTAGGTCTACTGAGTAATATTTATTAGCTCATTTTTAAAGGATAAAATGTTAAAGGGTGCATGATAGTTGTTTGAATGTTTTTCCCTTCTGAATCTTATATTAAAAGGTAATTCCCAATGCTGGAAGTGAGACCTGGTGGGAGGTGAGGGGATTACGGGGGTAGATCCCTCAAGAATGCTTTGACCCCATCCACTTGGTGATAAGTGAGTTCTCACTCAGTTCATGCAAGATCTAAATGTTTAAAAGCCTGGGACCCCTCCCTCTCACTCTTGCTTCCACTCTCACCATGTGACATGCTGGCTCCACTTCACACCTTCTGCCATGACTGTAAGTTCTCTGAAGCCAGAAGCAGATGCTGGCACTACACTTCCTGTACACCCTGCAGGACCACGAGCCAGTTAAACCTCTTTTTTTTTTTTTTTTTTTTTTTAATATAAATGACCCAGCTTCAGGTATTTTTTATAGCAACACAAGCATGAACTAATACAATCTTTATCCATTCATTCACAAATACTCTCATTTGAAAGAGTACAGAAAAGGAACAAGGGATATATATTAAAAAAGAGGGAATACATCTAGTAGTTTACTTTGGGGAAAGAAGAACATAAAGAAAAAAAAGGAAGGAAAGAAGGAGAGGGAGGAAAGGAGGGAGGGAAGGAGGGAGGGAAGGAGGGAGGGACAGGTAATTGATTATAATGCTGGGTGCCAGAGTGTTTAATCAAGAGATCAGAGTATAAAATTTCAAGGCATAAAGACTTCATGGAGGACATGGTATTTTATCAGTCTTGAAAGATGAATTACAGTTAAATAGAGACATATGCACCAGAGATCATCCGGAGGGTATGGAATTTGATGATTTCATATGATAGATTAGAGAAAAACGGAGAGAAAGAAAGATATAGATCTGGTTTGCTGTTCCTTCAGACGTGAGATAGCATTTCGCAGATTACTGCTCTCTGATATTGGCTGCTGGACTGGAAAGAGAGAAAGGAAAAGAAAAAGAAAAAAAAAAAAAAAGCTTCATATTGTAGATGGGAAACAAACAGCAATTTCTTCCCTCCCACACATCAGCGTTCCAGGTACCGTGAATGCCCTTGTACACCCTGTTAGACTTGAGTAGTAAGCTCTCTTTTGAAAATAAAATATTCTTAGGTATGAGATACAGGATTGACTAAACTATAGCATCTAGTATAGCAAATGAAGAAATACAATTATTCTCTTTGTAGATGAAAGGAGTACAGGTACTTGGTAGGACAAGATAATCTCTGTAAAATTTTGAAGATGACAATGTATAGATTGGGAAAAAAAAGTCAAGAGTGTTTCGGCTGTAAGAGCACAAACTTTAAAAGATACATGAAAAAGCAAGAAAATTAGGATGAGAAATGGACTGCTTACCAAGGACAAATTTACCAATTTCAGATACCGGGAGGTATTAACCTAGTTGAGGACACTTAAAAACATCTCCATTTTTTCTCGCTGTGTATAATAAATTATAGATTCTTAGCCCTGTTTATTTAGAATGTAAATATCAACTCTAGAAAAAATTATTTCTGAAATAGACCCAGAATACGTGTGAAAATTATATGGAGCCATAGTAAGATAATAAACATAAGTTTGAAACCTAGCAAACCTATTAATCACAGCTGTATCACTTAGCTCTCTGACCTTAAGAGATTTAGTCTCTCTGAGCTGTCTCTGTGAGCCAAATGGAGAATCATTTTCATACTAATTTTCTTGTGAGGATTAACTGAAGTCATATGTGAAAATAATATCTGCTTGATGTTTAAATGATAGGCCTTCATAGAAAACAGGTATTACTTGTTTAAAGGTTTCTCAGGAAGAATTTTTTCTCTTTCTCTCTT